AACATTGTCAATTATGCTTAATTGGCCAAAGAATGTCCTGAGATCACCTTGTGGATCTATTGTACAAAAATCCTAATGAGATACAAGAGGCTCCACCTAAACTACATAGAAACTAAAATACCATGTCTGGATTATAAACAGATGTCTCCTTTTGAAGTGTGGTTTGTGCTGAGCAGTGGGTTTTGGGAAAGGTTTCATCATAAGACCTTGCTAAATATACAGCTCCTGGTTTCCAAAATGCTTTTTTTTTTTTTTTTGGAATACAGTGGCATAGTACTGTTCTAGAGAGATCAGTTTTGTTTCTGTTCAGTGTGATTTCCTTGGCACTGCTGAGCTATGGAAGTGTATCTTGATGGGAAGGCCTTTCTGGTTAAGATTTTGTGGAGAAGGAGGGTCAGGTCATATTGAACACATAGGGTTGAATGCTAGCACTTGGTAATTTGGTTTGAAAAATAGTGAGCAGGATAGGAAGGAAGAGAATATAAACTTAAAACACCCAGCATGGAACTATTGTAGAAATCTGTTCCTGTGGATACTAGGGTAAAAAATAGCTTGGCAATACTAGATACCAAAGAGGCTTTTACATGGCAGTGAAATTTTGGAGGAATTGTGACAACTTAATGTTCAGACTAATAAACCATGTCTGTCAGGTGATAAGTGATACAGAGAAAATTCCTGTGCGACTTCAAAGGGGAAGTTCAGTTTGGTGTTAATAAATTGGTGGTTCTCTAAAATTTCAGTGCTTAGCTGCCTTTCAGAGGTTAAGTTCTGGTTCAAATAAAATTGCATTTAAAATGTGATCTAGTTTTATCTAGCATACAGCTGCCACAAGCAGCCACTTCTCAGAAGAGGAATTTAACTTCAGTGACTGCCTCTTTCTTTGGCAAAAACCTCAGGAATTGCCAATTGCACCGAAAGACTTATATATTTCAATGAAGTTATGTTTTTTAATCAAGAGTTGAAAAAATTTGGAAAAATAAAATGTTTATCACCCAATTTCTGGGAATTTTATGTTGTTTATAGTTAGGTTATAACATAGATACATAAAGTTAAATCAATATAGAAGTAAGCTTTTGAGGTATAGAGTAGTATTTCATTAATGTTAATTCTACTTCTGTTAATTATTCCTAAATTCTGATACAGTCTTGGCAGTATGTTTGAAGTAATTCTGAGTTTTGAAAATTTTAGAGATTTAGTTGTGGTTGAGTTATTGAGGAAATGTATAACTTGTTATTGCAGTAATCTGCTATTTAAGTTTGGGATATCTCCCTTCTGTGCTTTAAGCTTGCTTTAGTATTGCAATTAGGGTGAAACACATTTAATTCCCTGCAAGTAAACTGTAAATAATTATTAAACACTTTATAATGATTTAATGCAAATATTATGCAGTGTCTTCTGGGTGACAGATATTGGGAGGACGAATGAACCAGAAATAGGAATGCACTGATTTGAGGGCAGGGGTCAGTCCAGGATTGTAGAAAAATCCAGTGATGTCTGTGAGAGCAACTGATGAATTGTGAAGAGGAAGTAACGGGATGTAATATCATCAAAATAGGAGGAAAGGTTTATGTGATAGAAGGCTTGCCTGTTTCTCCCAGCTGACTGAGTTGAATTCATTATAGCCTGCTTGCTGAGTGATTGTTCATTTGGGAAACGTTAGCAACTGCATGGATGGGTGGATGAATAAATTTGTGTAACAAAGTTCTGAGAGCTGGAGATTTTCAGAGTAGCACACAGATCTCTGAGGAAAAATCTGGGTAATGTATCTGGAAGTTCCCAGACCCTGCTAGCTCCTGTTGGGAATGTGGTGGGAGTTGGTATATGTTTTGTGCTAGTGACATTCTTCAGATTTTATTTTTTGTAATGGCAGCATGCATGATGACCAACCATTAATCCATTTCTATGCTGGTATGCCTGTTAGAAAAAGTACTCCACATACTGTAGCTGTCTGAATACTGAAACATTTTTTTTCCTGCTTCGTTTTACTTACATGCTTAAGAAAGCTGGTCTTTACTGGGGGTTTCGCTAAAGACAGAAGTAGTCACTGAAGTTAAAATGGCAGCCTGTGGCAGCTGAGGCCACACAGTGAGGATTCTTTGCATAGTTATCCACGTTGTACATGGAATAATTAACTTTGTTGTCATATTTGGGCACTTCTCATAGCCACACAATTCTCAGACAAATTCTGTGAAATATATACGTTTGGAAGTCAATTTGAAAGAAGGTGGTGACTAGAATGTTTTATGTTGCTGCATTCATGGAAGCACTGCATAGGGAGCTTTGGCAAACCCGCATTTTGTGCATCATTCCTGCTCTTTTAATCTGTTTGGTCAGAAATGGATTTGAAAGGTCATGAGCGTTCATGGGTAGCAAGGCAGTGTACCAGCTGTCTCCAGGCACAGTGAAAAGCGTGGTCTTTTATAAATTTATTTAATATTACTAAAGTTTAATCTTTTGTTAAAAGTGCCTGATGTTTGCTAAATCAAGATATATAAAGCCTCTGAAATTATTTTTGATGTCCTTGCAATTTTCAAGTTTTTAGATTTACCTTCTGAAACTACGTTCTTTCTGTGGACATATTTGCATTGTTTCAGCTAAAAGTACAATTGTTTGTAACATGCAAACTGGACATGAGATACTGCTTGACAGTAGTTACTAATCTGCTGATGAATGATTCTTGTAGAGATTGAAAGGGATTTGTGTAGGCTGAAGGAATATAATGAGTTTCAAAAATGTTAGCAATTTAAAATACTGCTTGGATGTGAATTAAAATGTTCAGAAGTCACACAGTTACTTGAAATCTTGATCTTTTTTAGCCATCCAAAATGCCATCATTGTGTTTTTTTTCTCAGGGCATGTTTGTCCTCCCTAAAATTGCTTTAAATCAGGTTTTTGAGAGACAGCTGTCATCCCGAGTGTCTTACTATGCGAATAGGCTCTGCCATGCTGTAGGTTAGTGCCTCAGCAACTTCATAAGGGTGTAGATATATATCTTCTGATCTCACAGGTAACAGCAGTAGTCATCTCTTCCTCGTTCTTCTGTCTTTAGTACTGTTTAATGCTCTGTCTGTTTTCTGTGGTATTCACAGGTTCATGTGATGACTTCTACCTTTTGGGTCAAAATAACCCTTTTTAGCAGAGACCAGCTGCTTTGCATTTTAAGCTTGCCTGCTGATCTTTGGGAGTGAAAAGCAGGAGGACTGGTTGGGCCAACTGATGAATAATCATGCATTTACCTGCTCAGCTGTTTTTGAGAGAAACTTGAGGCTCTGACTTCGGGGGTTATAGTGTAACTGGTCAAGTTTATTCTCAGGTGATTACAGTTCACATTGCAAAAATTTCTTTTGTACTTTGTCTGAATACTGTGATGATTGGTGTATAATGTTATAGGTGTACCATTATCCATTTTGGAGAATATTGTCTTGCAGAGGAAGAGCAAAGACAGGTGGAACTGAGTGAAAGAATAGGTCTTATTCAAGAGCAAGGTTTACATCTGTTTTTATTGTGTGATATTTCAACTCAGGAGTCTTTCTATCATAAAGCCAAAGAATACCCAAGTATTTTACGATAATCTAAAAAATTGTTCCTCAGGCACTGGTAAAATGGTTGTTATATGATGAGAAAGTTCATAGTATTGGATGAGCTTGAAATCTCCCTTTCCTTGCTTATAGTATTGGTACTTCAAAGGACCGTATAGCTGTCTCTTTGCTGTGTCTGCAATGTCATGGGCATCCACTGAAAAAGTCAACAAATGGATCAACTTGTTATTTGTCAAGGTATTTCTGTATGATCTTAGTGTCTGCCTTTTGTGTGTTTGTGAGGTCAGTTCATTGTCCACAGGCAGCAGCGAGTCTGGCCTGCTATTACTGTTTTTGAGATCAGGATGGCTCTATAACTGCAAAGAAAAGAGGGTTCATATCAGCTGTGTGCAGCTGTGTGCCAAGCTGTGAAAAAGGTCACTTGGCTTGTTAAGCCTGAAGAAGAGGAGGCTGAGGGAAGACCTTGAGTTGTCTGTAGGTTTCTCATGAGGGGAAGCAGAGGGGCAGAAACTGATCTCTTCTCTGTGGTGACCAGTGACAGGACTCGAGGGAATGGCCTGGAGCTGAGTCAGGGGAGGTTTAGGTTGTTATATATCAAGAAAGGCTCTTACGCAGAGAGTGTTTGGAGACTGAACAGGCTCGCTCTCCAGGAAAGTCATCGCTGCACCAAGCCTGACAGAACTCAAAAAGTGTTTGGACAATGCTCACAAGCACAGGGTGTGGTTATTGGGGCTGTTCTGTGCAGTGCTAGGAGTTGGGCATGATGACCCTTGTGGGTCCCTTTCATCTTAGCAAAACCTATAATTTAAAAAAAAAAAAAATACCTCTTAACAACTAAGTAACATCTCTGTAGTCTTATTTTCCCTTATTCCTCTTTGCATTCATGAATCTTTATTTAAATAAAAAAATACCCATACATATTAATATCTTCTGTGTTACTGCTTTCAGCACATCATAGTGAATAAATATTATTTCATCAGCCCACTTGGCAATAATGACCATTAACCTGATTGTTAGCTGATGGGTCTCAGATGGAATGCTGAATGCATGCTTGTTTAAAAATGGCAGAATCTGCCTCTCCTTTTTACTGTAATAAAGCTGCTTCTGTTTGCAGCACTGTGTTGCTGGGAAACTGCAGCTAATTTTTATGGCGCATGTCAGTAGTAGTGATTCAAATTATACATTTCATTGAGTAGCTCTTCTTTTTGTTTGCAAACTGCCTTCTGTAAGGGGAGAGAAATTTTGTTGTGGGGAGAATAGTATCCAGACCAGAGAATATGACTCAATCTGAAACAAAAGCTCACGCTATTGATAACATCATTGTACTTCCAGAATCATTTCGGGGGGGATGGTGGCCTGGCTAAATTTACACTACTCTGATAGTCAAGTCTAACACAGGTATTCAGGAGAGCTCCAGGTGAGACAAACACATCTCCTCAAACTGCTGTTTTTCTTTTTCAGACTCCATGGTGCAAAACTTCAGCGTGTGGCACGACTTTAAAGCAAAACAACAAAATAGACTGAGAGATTATGAATTGGAAAACTGTGTCGTTTTGGTTCACAGCACAGATAACGGTGGCAATTCTTGGGCTGTGTAGAAAATGCAGTCCTTTTTAAAATGATTGTTGCACAGCTTGCATGTGGATCAGGACATGCATGCAATTACATTGGTAAAAAGTGGGTGTAATTGGGCATGCACCTAAATGGGAAAATACATGTGTAAGGTGGAATCTGAATAATAAGTAAAAAATATTCTGCTTGCTGAATCTGTACTCCTTTTCTGGCTAAAGGAGATGGTAGTCCATTTTGTGCTGTTCACGGTCTGCTTAGGTTTGTAGCAGTGTCTTGTTTTTAATCTTGCTTGAGATGCCTCTCTAAAATGGGGGGTGTGTGTGTGTCTGAAGCCTGCTTGCTTAAACACGCGAGTCATGTCAGCTGCAATGCGGCAGTGCTTGGTGCTAATGAGGTGAGCAGCCAGAGCACCCGTCTGCTTATGTTTGCTCATCTCTGTGCAATTATGGCTGTGGGGATTTGAAAAAGGGATTTGTATTGGATGTGGCTCTGTTTTGGCCTTTCCAGAGTGTGGTTCTGTGTTCTCCTGAGGACTGGGCAGCACATTTCAACTTCCATTTTGGGAGTTAGGTGGTTGCTTCATTATGTTTAATGCAAGGTCTAAAATACATCCTGGTTGGAAGAAGAAAAGGAAAAAGGGAAGTACAGAGAGGGGAACACCCCCCCCCGCCCCCCAGTTAATTCTAATGCACCTTGAAATGAAATCCATAGCCTGGCAATTGGTGCCTTAATGTAGAGTAGATACAAGTCTGTATTTGTAACGTAGCATCTTTGGAATACAGTAATCAGGTAATAAAATTTGGTTAGATCTCACTAGTTACAGGTGGCTTTTGGTAGGCACAACATGCAGATGCACTGTGATTACTCAGCTCACTTTTTTTGTTGTTGTGTTTTATTTTGTTTTTTAACCCTTAAGGTGCTGACAGCAGTGTGAGCTGAGTATTTTTTGCTGAAGTCATAAAGTTTTGCTTTCAACATAAGGCAGATAAAGTGAATATCAAACCTTGTTTGTCTTTTCCCATCCTCAGATGCCAGACTGTCTCATCGAGCTTGATGCCTTTCTGTCCAATCGTGTTGTATTCCTATTCCTTCAGCTTGTCTTTCAGTGTTTTTTTTTCAGAGAATTACTATAAAACTATAAGTTATGATTAAGTAATATATTGATCTTGGTGGCAAAGCTGGCTTTCCTTCTAGTTCCTGCCTTTGTCACAGGCTGTTACCTGTTAGCTGATAAAGTTTTTTCTGAGTACTTAATTTAATGTAAATCAGATTGTTGAAATGACCTGTTAAAAATAGTGCTGGTTTTTTGTGTTTTTTTAAGGCTCGTATCTAGTCTCTGTTACTTTGGCAATATGTTGTGTAACCTGGTACCACAAAGAGAGGGATCAATACAGCTGGGACTGGGAAAGGTATGAACTGCATCCTGTAGGCAAGAACCAGCAGTGGGAGGCAGGAACTTCATGAGCTGTTGATACAGCTGATGTAAGTGTAGTGTTCAGCTTATACCCATAGAAAGGACAGAGTGTCAACCTATAAACAAATGTCCTTCACCCTGAGAAGGAGCCCAAGACTGTGTGCCCTAATTACATTTGGTTTTTGCTTGGTCCTAGTTTTAAGTGAGTTAAGAGTGACATGAATGAAAGCACAACTGATGAGATGCGTGCTAGGGAGAGTTGTGCTGTTTTAACACTCATTGTTGGAAGTCTGGTATCTCTGTGATCACAGATACTGCAGTATTGATGTGCCTGTTTACCTTTTCCTGGAGACCTTATGACTTAAGACCGGGATGTTTTTCTCTCTTCCTTCTTTAGGTCTCCGGGTGAAAGGGGAGCTCATTACTGCTTACCCGCAAGTGGTGGTAGTGCGTGTGCCAACACCTTGGGTCCAGAGTGACAGCGACATCACAGTCCTTCGCCACCTAGAGAAGATGGGCTGCCGATTGATGAATCGCCCTCAAGCCATCCTCAACTGTGTCAACAAGTTCTGGACATTTCAGGAACTTGCTGGCCATGGTGTGCCTCTTCCAGACACTTTTTCATATGGTAAGGCTGTTGGATCAAAAAGGTAGCAGAGTTTCCTGGACAACTTAGGCTTTTGCAGTGCAAAAGATCCAAGTTTTGGAAATCCATAGCAATTTAAGTAGCCAGATCCACAGCTGGAAGTGTTCAGTAACCAGAAAGGAAGTTAAAGTCATGACACCCAGATTCTGGTTTTGTCTTTGTTAGTACCTTTTGATACTTTGAAAAGAGTACTTGAACTATACTTCAGCCTTCCAAGCAACTGACTTTGGCTGTTAGTGCTATAATACTTTCTGTTCTTTTCCAGTTGCCCAAAACAACAGGCAAGAGCTTGTACATAAGTACTGCAGAAAACTAGACTTTGGTACAACCTGAAAGTAGATTAAACTCCTGTATGAATAACAGTGTCTGCAAATACATTAGTTTTTGTGAAAGAACAAGAGTAGCAAAGAGTATGGGCCCTTTTAACAATAGTTTGGGCTTTGTTTCCCATCAAAACAGTTAATTATTGTTTAATGTGCCTGCCTTTGGAATCTCTGGTATCTCTGGTTCCTGACAGAGTGCTAGATTAGAGGAACCATTTGCCTGAGCTACCTATGCTATTTCTTGTTTTAATTACAATCTATTAAAGAACTGCAGACACCTCTCAACCTTCTGTTCCTTCTGGGAATACCAGTGCTTTCCTCTGCTTTTTGTGATTGCATCAATAGGCTTTTGTAATGGGAACTTTACAAAACGAGAAAAAAAATTGACATGGCTTTCTATCAATTACTGTGAATTACTGTTTCCATCAATTACCATGAAAACACATTTGAGAACAAACTTACCCTTTCTTTATACATGTGGTTGCTCTAAATTGTTGAAAAGGGAATGAGTTTTTAATTTTTGGGGGGAAGGGGAGACCATGAATGATACTTAAAAATTGAAGAATATACCTGTTTGATCGTAACTCCCACTTCTGTTAGTGCCTGCCTCTGGAATTTGACAGAAGCATGACTTTCTTTTCTTTTTTTCTTTTTTCTTTCTGTTTTATTAAACCACAAGTATCAAGTTATCAGTGAGAGCTGACTTTGCCAAGTAAAGCAGGGTGTGCTGAATGACGTGTTACTCCATGACATGTGTTCAACTCCATGGCAGGGTCTTGATGGCTGCTGCTGGCTTTATGACTTTGTGTCTTGTCTTGATTTCTCCACTTTACTGCACAGTGTGTTAGAGGAGGCTTGTCCCTTTGTCTGCTGAATTTACTCTTTATTTCTTTATTTCTTATGGTCAACCTTCTTTAAATTGAACTCAAGTAACCTTGAAGTATCAACCATAATTGTGTGAATGGCCATTAGAAGCTACTTTCTAAGGTCCTTACAGATGCAACAAGATTAAAAGTTGAAGTACTACTTCAGGATATAGGGAGAATGACATACAGGAGACTTAAGCCTTCAGAAGGGAGGAGGTGGACTGACAAGGTCTGGGTTGTTGCTGGTCTGTGGATTATGCCTTGTCATTGTGTTCTGTGTTACTTTCTTGGTTAATAGTTTGGATGGAGCTGTTACTAGTGTTATGTTGTCCTATTTTCCTGTTAGACATTAGAAAAGATGGGAGTTGATAAAGTAAAAGGGATAAACTGGAACAAAATGGTAGAACTGGGGCATTCAGATTTGGAAGATTAGATTGAGTCTTTTGGGATTGTGATCAAGAGGCCTTTGACAGCTTGTGTCTTCAATTCCAAAGGAAGTAGGTCTTAGTATCCCACATGTAATAAACATCTTCAAAGTCTGATCATGCTCCATGACCAAGGTCTTAACTGTTAATTTTTTCTGCATTATCTAAGCTGTAAGGGTGGGAGGAATGTATGGCAATTACATCCCAAATTTGGCCACAGCAGACTGGTGGCACATAATGTTGTTGGTTTTCTTTTTGCCAGGTGGTCATGAGAATTTTTCCAAAATGATTGATGAGGCGGAAGTGCTGGAGTTCCCTATGGTGGTGAAGAACACGCGGGGTCATCGAGGTGGGTGTGAGGTCAGGGGTGAGAGCAAGGAGTATTCTGAGCAGCACTCCAAGATCTTGTCTCATCAAGAAATGTTAGCTAAGAAGATCTGTTAGATGTTGGACTTCTTACCAATACATCTAAATTCTACCACCCTTGAATGCTGAATGTTGAATAGAGTGCAGCACTGGGAAACAGTTTTAGTAGAACTCAGTCTTGCAAGGGCAGGATGGAAAGCATTAGAAATTATGGTGCATTGGTGACTTCTATGAGGAAAGCTTTAAACTGGAATAATGGGAGGTCTGGCCTTTGTGAAGTTGAAAGAAGCCTGCATGGATTTTAGGGATGTTTTTAAATAGGCCTAAGAAATGAAATCTCAGTTCATTCAATGACTTTTTTCTTTCTTGACTGTCTATAATTAGGGTTCTGATTTAAATAAAATCTTCCATATTGTTTGTAAAACTGGATCTCTATTTTTCAGAAAAATACCTCTGACAGTGCCAGTGGTATTACTACAGTTTCAAATTAAATTGCTCTGGTATTAGTCTTTTGTTTCAAGTGTTGAATATAAAATAAACATCAACTTAATTTAGTGTTAGTGGTTACTAAAGGAAACCATGTTTAAATCAATTTCAGAGATTATTTGCACAGGAAGTTGCTCTGTTTTTAATATACTTTAAAACAAATTCCATAAATACTAGATCTAAAAAGAGATTAAAAATGAAGTTAAAGCACAAAACCAGGAATTACTTCAAACAAAATCATAACTAGGAGACACCATTTCTTTCTTTTTTTCTGTCTGTCAGTTTGCCCTCACTCTGCTGCTCTGATGCTTCTCTTGTGCTGGCATGAATGCTTCTGTAGCCATATAGTAAATGGGTTCAGGAACTGATGTTGAATGGATCTAGATGGGTTATTTTTACTCAGATTAATTCCTTACATGACTTAGCACTTGCACAGATGCTTGTGTTGATGTAATGGAAGAGAGCAAAACGCTGGGGCTGAGGAAGATCTGACCTGCTGCTGTTGGCAGCAGTACCTGTTAGTGTGGTTTTAAAGTGCGGGTGGAGCTCTAAAGCCAAGGTGGAGTTTGATGTTGCAGCAAGATGAACTTGACAGTGTGGAATATCTGAGACAGTGGGTTTGACTTAACACTGCCTCTTGTGAAGAACTACTAAATAATTTTAGAGTTTCAGCTATTGATTTTCTTCTCCCTTTTTTAGCCAGGATTCCTGTAAATCTGTTTACAAGTTTTGCTTTAAAGCACTTTAAATTCCAGGTATTTTAAAGCAAATTTATGCAAAGTATATATATTTTCACACTAAGAGAGTTGGGGGAACTTTTTCAAAGTAATTGAAGAGCACCCATTTGCAAATTATATTTAAAATAAATAGGCAAACATGGTCGTTGGTACTGGCTGATGAATAAAAGTCGTGCTCTTCTAGGCCAATTTTCTGCACAGGTTGCTGTTCCAGCAAATGGGCCAGTCCTGGTTTTGCCGAGATGTCATGCTGCTGCATAATTCACAAGAGCTAAGCAGTTCCTCTCCAAGGCATCATTCTTCCTATTCCATTTCAGGGATACAGTAGGATTATTAATTGCCCTTAGATAAAGTTTGGAGTGGAAGAAAGGCCATGGAGGTTTTTTTCTTTTGTGAATTTTAAGCTTACATTCTCATGTCTCTGTCATGAGAAATTCCATGTTCCTCAAGCAGTGTCCTGTGTTATGGAGACTTTAAATCCTATCTAAACAGAGGCTGCTCTAGTTGGGCATAGGAGCACTTGGTGGAATGCTACTGCTGCATTTCTGTTCTTACTTAAGGAAGGCAGTTTATCAGTTTATGTTTGTACTCTGTTAACACTGTAGCAGAATTGAATGACAGTTCTGCTACAAGAGAAAGTGTGCAGCTTTATTGCAAAACATAAATCTAGTATGACATAGAGCCCTTAAGGAAGGGGAAAAGAAGTTGGGAAATGTAGATAAAGATGGAAAGGGATGCAGTCTTGTGAGACTGGAAATTGGATAGAAAGTAGTAGAGTCTGTTTTAGGGATGGCTTTAATCAGTATGAATATAACTGGAAAAGAACTAAGAAGTCTGGTGTGCTCTAAAAATGAAAGGGAATGAAATTACTGATTTTAGGTTAAAAAATACAGGTCCTAGAGATGTTTGCTTGCAGAAAATCTAGTGATTTGTCAAAGAGGTTTTTTTTTTTTTCAGTTGTAGGAATCCATTCATTTTATGTTTTGTGGAATCTTCTGGTAAATTATCTTGGATACTGGGGAGTGGAATGTTTTCCTCTGAATGGAGTTCTTCCATTGCAAACTTCATTCTGGATTTGTGAGCCCTTTTGAGTATTGGGAAGAGCGGCTCTCAGGAACTTCCTAACAGAGAAGGAAGTGGGTGATTCTGCAGTGGCACACTAAGGACTTCAGAGTTCTTAGATGCCCAGTGTTTAACAGTTTCATGTTGTTGGTTCCCGAGCGTCAAAGCTGTAGGCTGTGGGTCCTGTCCTCTTGGATGATCAGAATTGTTATTAATTACATGTTGGCTGCTCTTTAAGTATTTCTTCCTTTTTTTCTCTCACTAAGGACTTGTACCAAAGGAAGTTGAAAATGCAAGACCACCTCCTTAATCTAAAGCTTTTTTCTTTTTCCTTGCTTCTTTTTCTTTTTTTTTAAACTCACGTCTCCTCAGCTCTGTTAGTACTTTAACACTTAAAAGCACTGAATCAGTGGAACTCTGTTGTCCATGGAAGAATTGGTAGCGGATAATGTATAACCCACAGATGGGGCCTCTGAGAATGGGCACTGTGCTGGTCAGAGGTTTTACTTTCATGTGCTGAATCATTGATGCAGCTCAGATGGCTAAGTGCTTTCAACATCCCGATGTTCTTTCCTCCATACAGGTAAAGCTGTGTTCCTGGCACGAGACAAGCACCATTTGGCAGACCTAAGCCATTTGATCCGTCACGATGCCCCTTACTTATTTCAAAAATACGTTAAGGAGTCCCATGGCAAGGATGTGCGCGTCATCGTAGTGGGAGGCCGTGTGGTGGGCACCATGCTCCGCTGCTCGACAGATGGGAGGATGCAGAGTAACTGCTCACTTGGTAGGAAAAGCATTGCTCATAGTTTTGATCAGGATATTTCAACCCAGTTGAAAAACCATAAAACTGACTGAAATAAGCTGCAGGTGTTATTTTGTGTTAATTTTGCTTGCTGCTGGGGGTTTAAAGGGGAAACACAAGAATAAGGATTAAGTAAGAAGCATGTTGAGCAAACACAGAAGGAGAGATGATTTTTGCTCAAAGTATTTGGTAGATGGGATGATGACAAGCAGGGGAAAGTTCTGGAACACAAATGGAGCAACTTGATGTGGTAATGGCAGTTTGATGCTAATGTCATATTATCATTTGTTTCATCCTGCTGAGAGGAACAGAAAATGAAGGAAGAGAGAAACAACACTTAAGGGGGGTGGAGGAGTCAGTCAGTTGGCAAGAGAATAGAAGAAAATGTTAAGTGAGCAAAGTGTTGAAGGCAATAAGCAATTGGATTGCACTGTGCATCTTCTGTGCTACCTTAAGTCTGTCAGATTCCTCCCTGTTACCTCTTCCCCCAGAGACCATATCTGGGAGAAAGAGGAGGATGCATGGATTGTAGCATACTCAGAACTAAGATTCTGCAGAGTTTTGGGTGTTGGACATGGGGGTTTCTGAGGGTAAAAGGAGGAAGGATGTTTGAGGGTGCCTGGTTGAAACTGTACAGAACCTGAGCAGGGATGGGACAAAGTGTGTTCATGTGTAGTGCAGTTTTGATTAGTCAAAATGCCTGAGAGATTTTAGTTACTGCTTCATGCAGAGGAAGTATAGCCTGAAAGATTTGTCTAAATGTTTGTTTTTTTTGGTTTTCTTTTCTTATTGTTTGGTTTATTTTTAAATTTAAGTATTGTGATAGATAAAGCTTGAGTCAGTTAATACCTAGGTGATGGACTGTGAACTTGACCAGCTGAAGTTCAGACACAAATGTTCCCTAATTCTTGCTTTAGAGACAGTAACCTGTGATAGCAAGTTGAGAGGGATGTGAGCAGATGATAGTCTTAATCCCCATTCCCCTCAATTATATCTACAGTTAGAGTTGTAGTCTTAGCAATAGCTCTAGGTTTAATTTTGCTGAAATATTTCTTGTGATCACTTACAAACATGTAAGGAAAACCTCTGTCTTAGAAGGAACAAGGGTGGTTTCTTAGTTCATTTTTTTCATATCCTGGGATCATAAAAATGTGTATTTTTTTCCTGACCAAAAAAGTAATCGCTTAACTGTTTTTAAACAAATCGGAATCTTGACCTGCCAAAGGCAGGTCAGAATCTTTAAAAATCCTGGTGTGGAATCAAGTTCATTAGTAGTCACAGTGGGAAAGAGGTCACTTTCTAAGTCATCGGCAGTGTGCTTGCAGGCTCACTTTGAAGCTTCCCAACCGAAAAGCACCGCCCGATTGAGAAGGATGTCAGTCACCTGTGACCTGCGTGCAGACAGCAAGTTTTTTTCACTTTTTCCAGGTGGTGTAGGAATGATGTGCACGCTGAGCGAACAAGGCAAGCAGTTGGCAGTCCAAGTGTCAAACATCCTGGGGATGGATGTGTGCGGCATTGACCTGCTGATGAAGGACGACGGCTCATTCTACGTCTGCGAGGCCAATGCAAATGTAGGTTTCATTGCCTTTGACAAGGCTTGTAATTTAGATGTAGCTGGTATCATAGCGGACTATGCCGCTTCCCTGCTGGCCCCCGGCCGCTTGACGCGGCGCATGTCCTTGCTCTCCGTGGTGTCCACGGCCAGCGAGACTAGCGAGCCAGAGCTGGGCCCTCCAGCTGGGGCCGCTGTCGACAACATGAGTGCTAGCTCCAGCTCTGTCGACAGCGACCCTGAGACCACGGAGAGAGAGTTGCTCACCAAGCTCCCGGGGGCTCTCTTCAACATGAACCAGCTATTAGCCAATGAGATCAAGCTCCTTGTGGAGTGATGCCACATGTAAATAGGTGACCAACAGAACTCTCTCTTGTAAATTTTTTTTTTAAACCAACTTGCAATGCTGTTTATCAGAGATGCTGAGAGGAATGAGGAAAGGGGGGTGGGTATGTCAGTCAAGAGAGCAAAAGTAAAAGTCACACGTGCTGTGATTGCTGTCCCTACTTATTTGCGGAACATTAAATTGCCTTCATTCTTCACCAGTTTTACTGTGGAGATGCTCAGTCCATAACCAAGCAGCAGTTTTGTTTGGATGCTGCTTTGGTCCCCAGATGTATTGCAGTTCCTGTGTTTTCATGGGCAAGCATTGAAGCGTGATTCACACTTGAAGATTTTCAGAAAGTTGTCTGGCAGCCCTCTAGAAAGTTTTGTGAATTACTGCACCAGTTAAGTCTCTTCTACCTCTGTAAGGCTTGATCCTGTAAATTTCTGAGTGCCTCAAATTCTTTATGTGAGTTGAAGGTGTTAAATACCAAGTATTTCAAAATTCCTGGACACCTACTGTTCCTGCTCTTGTAGATGGGAGCTCTAAGTTCAGGATCCTTTCAAAGTCATCACTTTCTGACCTTGCAGGATACGGCCTTTCAAATGATGAGGCTGAGAGAAGTGTCAGTTGACTTAATGTGAACTTTCTGTAAAAATCTGTAAATTGTGCCATCTTGGTATTAAGTGGCAGCTTTGTGTCTAAATTTCGTTATAAAGCTTTTAAAGGAGGATGGTTCTGTTTTTCTCATTTCAAATCCTGATTTTGGAAGGTATATAGGGGAATTGGTCATATTCTATTTGTGGGCAGAAGTGGCACGTTTTTAACTATTCTTTGCATGGTTGGAGGAGATAAACAGCACTGTAATGTTTGGTACACAAAATGATGTTTAATCTAATGTGAAAAAGAATTACACTAGTTTAAAGCAAACGTGCATCGACTTGTATTTGTTAGTGTTTTAGTCTTTCTGAGAGAGATCTGCAATGTTAATGTTCCTTTTTCTTTAATACATGCTAGTCCAACACTCCCTTCTCTATGCCTGCATCTTTAACAGTGGCCAAAGTGAAAACACCGCAGACTGTTTGTTAAGAAAACACCGAGTTATAGCCTGTACATTGGTGGGGGGGGGTTGTTGTTTGTTTTCATTTTTTGCCTTTTTTTTTGGAGGGAGGAATGTGGTAAGGTGTGGAGGAGGGAAGAGCTGGTTAAAAGTGATTAGTCATCCAGAGGAACTTTAGAATAAAGCTGCAGTTCATACAATACTTACCAGGCTTACTTTTTCCCCACTGGACATAAAAAAACCAATGCTGGCATAAATCCAAAGAGTATAACTGGGGAGAAATATTCAGTTCTTAGTTTTGGAAAACATGTGGCAGATTTAAAAAAGAAAAGAAAAAAAAAAAAGAAGGAAAAAGGAGAGAAAAAAAAAAAAAAAAGAGCTCAGCCAGAGTTAAAAAAAGAAAAAAAAAATAACCTAGGTCCACAAACAATTAAGGGATTAATCCTGGGCCCTTACATGTGTGTGGTGTGAGTGCACACACTTGTGTGTGTTTTTGTGTGCACAATTGTTTTGCTTTATTTTTTTGAGGGTGTAGGCTGTTTAGCTCCTAATTTTTTTCCAGACTTCGTGATTTTCCTTAATCCTTCTGGCTGTGCATTTTATCATTAGCCTTGAGCTGGTTTGGAAAACAGATAACCAAAACAGATACTGAGTCCATTTTTCAGTCCCTGTCTTCCTCCTCCTTTTCCTCTTCCTTCTCCCTTTTCATTCCCCTCTTGTTCTTGGGGTTCATAAAGCCCTGGAACTATATATATATATATAAATATATATATAAAGATAAGCCTCTTTTTTAAAAACAAAAAGTAAAACGTTTACAATTGAAAAATCATCTTGTGAAAACAGGTTTGTTTGGAGGGGGGTTGTGTGTGTGCAATGCTGCTGTTTTCTGGATACTTTAATGGAGCATGTCCCATGTACCCTCTGAGGTTCTGCACTGCCCACCTCTGTGGCCCTTCCTCACCTCTCTGCTGCTCTGCTGTTTTATCTTCACTTGGACCTTAAACACAACTCACGGACACTATGCAGAGAGTCTTCAAGAGGCAATAAACAGAACAGTATTAACCTACTTTATGGAGGTTTGATCATGCTTCTTTGTACAGTTTGGTTTTTTTATTTTAAAAGGAATGTAATAAAATGGCTTTTTTTTTTTTGTAGAATTAAATATTATTATTAAAATCAAGTGAAAGGTTGACTGTTGGTGTTAAGCAGGAGGGTGGACCAACTGGTCCAGCAAAAAAAGGATCTTCTGCAGTAAAGGTATTTTCAAATCCTTACTGAGCCTTCAAGTGCACAGGTTATACCGGAAGAATATAAAGGTCTTCAACTTCCATGAAGAGTTACAGAACAACAGAACATGAAGTAATCTATTTCTCTAGTCACTGAGCAGTAAACTGTCTCTTCCAAGAGCTCTACTTCCCTTGCTTGTTTATCCAAGAGGAATTTGGGGTGGAGGGCGGCTCTTTTTTTTTCTTTCTTTTTTTTTTTTCCTTTTTTGGTGTGTGTTTTTTGTTTTCTTTTGTTTTATTTTTCTTTTTTTTGTCTCTTCCTTTTTACTGGTAGGTGCCTGCACTCCTTGAGAGGCTGATAGGATCAACCCTTCCCTTTCTAGCTGTGACATACATTGAGCACATGTGGAATAACAGCAGGGAGTAAACATGTGCTAGTTGTTATACTGGGGCCTTTGTGTTTCTATCACAGGAAACATCTTTCAGAGGAAAGAGCTGTTAACTGAATATTCTGGATTGTTTTTTTGAGTCCTCATAGTATCTTGTAGCTCACAGGAACCTTGCATTTCTAGCACCCTTTCAGAATGTCTAGGTTACACCTCACAGTTGTAAAATTTGTGAAGTAAACATAAGATTTTAAGAAGACCAAACGGGTTGAGAGATTTGCAGTTTGACTCCCTTCTGATAAGTTGCTTCTCTGGTTGGTGCTTCCATTACTAGTTTGGAGATAAGTCTATGCATAGTGGTCACAGAGGGAGACAGGATTTGAAATATCATGTACATGTGCTTGGACATTGGGTATCGATGCTATGTGAAAACCGTGCTCGAGGGTTCATTTATACAAATGGGCACACTTATCTCATGTATTCACTCCCTACTTACCTTGTGCTCCTGAAAGAGTGAAACACAAAGAATGGCCTGGGGATGCAAGGGGTGTCTCTTGTTTTCACTTAAAGGAAAAAACACCAACAAAGCTAGCCTGTGGTAACCAGGCAGTGTTTCCCATTGAAGGTGAACTCCACAGATGTCAGCTTTATACACATTATTTTCTTCAGTTCCGTGTGCTGAAAATCACATGCTAAACTTCCATACAGTTGCACAAACACTACCTCCATCTGTGGGTTTGGAAGCATGTGCTGAAAAAATGGTCAACATAGTGGTGGATTACAGTATGCCAGTACAGCTGATGGTGATACAACTATTTTTGTATATTTCAGTGTTTGAAAGAGCCAGTTAGAAACTCTTGTTTGCAAGAATAAGTTTCTTAACTACATCTGATGAAATTTTGTTCTTTGTAACACTGGAGATTTTCTTCTGTTCAACTTACTGTGTTTGTAATTGATGTCATGCTGTCAATGTATGGATTGTATCTTAATCCTTGTATTTAATGCTTTAATGTGTTTTATAAAATCTTTTTTTTGTAATGTTACAACACCTTATCTGTAAAACAGTGTCAATGCTTGATGTTTACATTGACTGTTACATTTTTTTGTTCTGAGCTGATGGTCAATCTCGACGCCTTTTCTCCCACTTCATGTGCTATCTTTGCCGTGTGGTATTTACTCAGGAAATAACCTCTGGAACAACTGGGTATGTCAGACACAAAGGAGATACTTCTTCAGATGTTATACCAGACTACAAAATCCAACAAATGAAGCCAGTGACGCTTGCTAAATTCCCTCATTGCAAAAATCTGTCTGTTAATTACATAAGGGACCATAAGGGCTTAGAGAGACTTTGAAAACAGATTGTACAGTATCTTTCTCATGGCTCACTCTTTTTGAGAAGGTTTATGGGCTTTATGGCTGGTGTGAGACACACGACCCACTCCTGTTCTCTCTATGGAATAGTAGGTGCTCGGACAGGTAACTTCTGTTGCTACTGTCTTTTTTAATTTTAATTTTTTCACTGTTCTAGGAATTGTTTTAAACTGAATACTACAGGATTTATAACCAGGTCTTTGCTGCCTTTTCCTTTGTTTTATTTATTTACATCTTTCTTAACCTTTGAGGGTGACTTTTGGAGCATTCTGATGGTGGATCTGCTGTTGGAAGTCTCCAAGCCTCTCATGTTTCTAATTTGAGTTGAAAAGCTTTTGTTTTGTTTATTTGTTTAAAACAATGACACAAATTAGCTGCGTGGATTTCGGGTGGGATTTGTTGTTGCACTGTTTTGGGTGACTTATTCTCCCTTTTTCTACAGAAATGTGTTCTAACAGTTCACACTTTGTTACTGTTCTTTGCAAAACTTTTCAGGAGCCAAAAAAGTCAAACAATCCAGAGAAAACCCCTTCTCCCCTTTCCGATGGCAAGAGTGAGAACTTATGAAAGTCCTTGCGAATGTTCCTTCCTAAACTTTTCCCCCCAGTAATGCAAGCCGGTAAAATGGTAAACGCAGCAGTTTGGTGACATCCAAAACCGACCTGTTGTCAGGTAAATTGACACTTTTCTGCTCTTACTCTAACCTTCATAAGTTTGCTAACTTGTCTGCCTTCCTTTCTTCCCATCAGTTCATTTTGGTGATACTTGTTGAATGATTTCTTTAACAGGATTTAGAGAAAACCCTGCTTTACTTCCTTATTTCCCCTCCTTATACTTGTTGACTTTTAAGAAAACTCATTGTGACTTGCTTTACTCAGGTGAGAAAAGAGTGAGTCCCTCATGCAACTGTATGAGGGATAGTTTTGTAATACATTAATTCCACCTCCTCTTCATTTTCTAGATAGTTTGTCTCCAAGTGTACTATTTTAGCTTAGATTTTTGAAAGATACATTGCTTTCCATTTGCTAAGTGAACATAAAATATAACTGCAGAAGTAAATAGCTGATAGGAACAAAAAACTAGTACTAAGAATGTTAATTCTATTAAAATTCAATAGAACAGGATCCTGTAAAGAGGACAGATGGACGAATATGTGTGTTGCAGAAAAGACTTGAGCTGATGTGGAGGATGGGGTGACACATTTTATCTTGCCCTTACTGTTATATCAAAGCACTTGTATATTTTGTCCTTCTCTGGTAACTCTCTCCCTTAATCTCAAACAATGTAAAAGTACTGGGTATTTAATATTTTTTACTTAATTTAAGGGGGAGAATCTTGTATTTTGCTCAGAAGTAAAATATCAGACAATTGGAATACCATTCCAAGTTGAAGAATGTTAGCCTACAGATAGGCTTCCAAGTTTCCTGATGCAGTATTACATTTCCCATGACATCTGTAAAGAATTAGCACTTGTTTCAGATTATTTTTCTGTGTACATTAATTACTCCTCTATACCATCATAAAATAGTCTATTTTTCGTAGTCTCAGTTTATATTTTCCTGAAAGAAAGCAAACTTACCAGCAATATAATAAATTGCAGCTTCAAATTAAGGTGGGAGGGAATAATTTTAGAGCCAAATTTTGCTCTCAATTACACTGAGATAAACCTGGAATCACTCTGTGGAAGTCAGTGGAGTGATACCCGATTTCACTGGTATAATTGAGTGTATAATTTGTGTCTTTAATTTTACTTGCAAGGTAATTTTACAAACCTGTTATACTTATGTTTCCAATGCTTTTTCCTTTCAGACACACCCACTTCTTGCGTCTCAGCATTGGGCAGGCCTATTCCTTTATTTGTGTATATTTTTGTGCATCAGCTGCTATAGGACACGGGTGTAACACTTTCAGGCATGTGGTTGGGTGTCTTTTTGGGGTTTGTAATAATGTCTAAAAATAAGAATTTCTTTTCCTCAGTTTATTAGTTAGTTCATGTTGGATCACAGTTTTGCATCTCTAACCGGATTTTAGATACATACTATGTGAAGATTTTTTTGAAAGAAATACAGTACTAGTTCTTTGCAGAGTCTGCAATTGATCTTTGGTGGGGAGAGTTGACCAAAATGTACTGCATTCTGCAATAGTTGAAGTTTTAATATTTAACGTAGCTTGAAAGGTGATCTTACAGATCGTGCTCCTTCCTCTTTATGGAATGGCTTTCAAAGCCTTGTATTGATCTTGGTTGTGCCCAGTGCTTTGCCTAGTGTATGGGGAAATGTAGAACTTGAATAGGCCATGACTTCTTAGACAAGGGATGATGATTATGTGCATGCTGAACAAGAACTTCTTCTATATGCCCTTCTGCTGCAACAGAATAATAAAACTGGTAGGTGGCAGCAGCAGCAGCAGCAGCAGCAGAAGACACTCATGACTGTGACCTGAAAAACCTCCAGTACTGGGAGAAATGGATTGCAAAATACTAACTGGAGTAAGGGGAATGGAGAAGAGAGGCAGAGTCCCTGAACTGTCCCTTTGAATGGTGAGTCTGATTTACAGAATTCTGACCATCAAAAGACTGCCTGTAATACAAGAGGCACATTGATCTATCTCAGTTTTTGGTTACCTGGTGTCATAATTCTCATCTTTGATTCAACATTCCAGTTTCCCCTCTGCCTTTATAAGGCACAGTACTTGTTATAAAAAACTAAATTTTGCCAAAATTGCCACATATTTAGAGTACTGGAAAATAAGGCTGAAAGGAATTTGTCTAGCCCAGTCATTCTCTGCTCCACAGAAGACTGATCATATTTGTGCCATTGGTGAGATGTTTATTGTAACCTAGTTTAAAAACCAAGGAATACCTGAGGAAGATTTAGCAATGCTATGGAAATTTTTTTATGAAGGTGAAAAACATCCCTGCCGTCAGCCAGTGATCAGCCTCATGGGCTGAGAGCCCAATTGCTTCTTTTGGCTACTTAAGAGCAACATATATATATTTTTATACACACACACACACACATACACACACACACATATATGCCTTAGAAATGCCTTGATCATAGAGAACAGTGTTTTTTATGGAGAT